AGAAACCGTTAGACGTCAAGATGAGCCCAGCTGCCCAATCGGTGCAATGAGCGGCGCGAAGTCATTGGGTGGGCGCACTTGCAGCTGAAGCGCGCGGAGTTGGACTTGAATCTGTCACGTAGGCTTGACGATGACGGGCTCTCCCCAATAGCGTGGTTCCTGAACTCCGAACCCAGGTTTTCGCCAAGCGAATGATGGATAAACCCCAAATCCCCCCGTGCAAGGTCTCCGCGAGTGGAAAGCCGTGTGGAAAGCCGCAGCTCAGCGGAAACCGGCCCCGCGAGGGCTCTGCCGCTAGTGGGGCTGACAGGGACAAGGAAGGTGGCGGAGTGATGGCGATTGGAAACCGGGGTTGTGTTTGCGCGGGAAATTGGCGGGTGATAAGCGTCGTGAGTGGTCGGCGCGCGGGAGATGGGAGCGTGCGTGTCGTAGAAGCTCAGGTCGCGCGACGCTTGCGCGTGCATGTGGCAGTGATCGTGGCCGTGCGACGTCGCGAGACTGCGTGGCGAGCGGCTGTGCAAGGGGCGAATGGAGGGCGAGTGACCGTGGCTGCGAACACGCGCGACGTGTGCGACTGGCGACGGCGACAAATCTAAGGCGCGCGACGAGAACGACCGCGGCGGAAAACGGCCCGAGCCGAAAATCGACGGCGACTCCAACGAGCGATCCTTCATAGAGAACGACGTCAGCTCCAACGATCGTCGCCGGGAAACGCGGCGCTGAGGCGGCGGCGGCTCGTCTGCCTCGTCGTCTTCCTCATTCCCGTCATCTTCTTCCGCCTCGATACGAGCAGTCTCGATATCAATAGATGTGTTCATCATCATATGAGTCAGGTCCAACGATTCCTTCGACCGTCGCCAGGAAGCGCGGCGCTGAAAAAATGGAGGCGGCTCGTCTGCCTCGTCGTCCTCTTCATTCCCGTCATCTTCGCTTTCCTCTTTCGTATAAGCACTAGTAGTGCTTATACTGCTAGTGCTAGTAGCGGAATGCCTCCGTGTAATACCCGTCGACAGAGAAAGCTCCCCGCCGCCGCGGATAGCGGCGACGCCGGCGCCGCCGCCACCGCCGCCGCAACCGTCGATGCAGTCCGCGCCGCTACAAGCGACGGCAGATGCGCCGCCCTCGTTGCCACCGCCGCCGGCAATGGACGACTCGATCATGTGGATGAAGTTCTCGCAGCGCGCGGCGCTGAGCTGGCGCTGCGTCGCGAGCAGCTCGAGCTTCCCCTCGAGCGCGCGGATCTCCATGTTCTCCGTGCTGTGCCGAATCGCGTGCAGCGTTGGCGATACTGCCTGCGACGTCGCATGCAGCGTCGGCAATATCGTCTGCGACGTCGTTTGCTGCGTCGACGACATCGGCGACTGCGACGCTACAGCCGCCTGGTCGGAGTCGCAGCCGTCGCCAGATGAAAACTCGCTCTGTTCCTCGCTGCTACTGGGGCTCCCCCTGAAACGCTGCGGCGCCACGAACGTATGATGGCGGCTCGGAAATGACGGCGAGGCGAGCGCGGCTGGCAAATCGGGAAAGAGACCGCACGAATCGCAGAGTGACTTTGGGCTCGGATCGAAGGGTTCGTAGAGCGCGGCGCCACCGCGGAGCGCAGGCGGTCTCATAGCGGGAGACGCGGCAGCCGACATTCGGTAGTAGCACATGTGGATCGTATGCGGATGCTGTCGGGTGCTTAGAGCAAAAGCGTAAGCTACGAAAGTAGAAGTGAGAACGCGAAGGAGGCTTTTACGGACTTCAACTGAGGAACGAGAAGCTAAAGCGATAACGTGGAATGTAAGCTGCTTTACGGGATGAAGCACTGCGGTCAAAGCCACAGCGAAAAAGGCGACTATATCTTTATGAACAGAAGTTCTAGATCCCGCCTTGAGCTGAGCGCGAGATTGTCAGACGAGCCACTGGGTTTGCACGAAGCGTTCGACGTCGGAGAGGAAGGGGAATGGAAAGGCGGGAAACTTTTTTCCAAATGACTGGGATTCCACTCGCGTCTATGTGTCTATACGTGTGATCCGAAGCACAAGAATGCCTCACGAGGGATCGTTGGTTCCAGCTTTGGCATTCCAAAAGCGGAGGAGCGCTGATGCGAATGGGTGGATGGATGGAGGTCGCGTGGTGAAGGGAAGGGTTGCTTTTGCGGAGTGGAGGGGAATCCGCGGGATGGAGTGGGATCTGCGGAATGGAGGGGAATCTGCGGAATGGTGGGAGAGGGTGGTGTACAGATGGACGACCGTGATGGAAGGGGGCGGAAAGACTGCGAACGACTCCGGGGGAAACTCGCTACAAGACGAACGACTGCGGGGGAAAGGGGAGAGACGTGAAGGCCAGCTTGTCTTGGTATGGGTTCATGGCCTCATGCCGAAGCCGCAGATTGAATGGTTAGTGATGAGGGGCGGGCAGGTTGGCAAGGGGGCTGACTCTGGACAGAAATTATATGAACCGAAGAACACCGATACATATCTAAGACAAAGCCGTCGAGATGTCGGGGAACATTTCGTGCTGGGCAGCAACTTACAGAAAGCGTCGCGTCGCGTCGCGTCCGTCCATCATACAGTATCTGTTCCGTAGCCTCGCTGGCATGTGCTGGACGTGGGTTCGAGAAGCCGCATGTGATTCCACTTTTGTCTTTCGCGCCAGTCGTGCTACTGTTCGCATTGTGATCAAAGCGGGTAGCAAAAAAGGCTGCAACTGTTCAGCTCAGCCCGGGGATTTTCAGGGCTGGTTTCGGCCCTGACCCGGATTCCAAACGGACAGATTTAGGGCCTTCCCCAGGACCTGCGTACCTGCACCCCTCTTCCCACCCTTCTTCTTAACCTTGGACCGCGAACGTGCCTTATCCCCGCTCCTCCCAACAACACACACATCCCCCTGAAGTGACCCCTGAAATACCGATTTATGCACTCTCAAATCCCGTTGCAACGAACCAAGGGTGTGCATAAAACAAAATTCAGGGGAGCTTGCTTCAGCCAGAGCTCGAGGTAGTAATAAATGTGAACGCAACTTCTTTGGAAGGCGGGAAATGAAACTTTGTTCGTTTCTGGTGCCATGTGGCGTCTCTTCATTCACCCGTTAAACAGTCACATTTATATCTTGAGACTCTGATCCGGATTTGGATATTGATGTGCTGTGCTGAACCATTGGTCGTCGTCATTCGCATCGTTGGCACGAAACCCCAACAAGGTGAGGTACGTTCCAATCAGCATGCAGGCTGCCTGTCAGTGGGCTCCTCTTGGTTCGTTTGAGTCAGATTTGGCTGAGCTTCACTCAAGCTGACGTGGGTACAGTGTGGCTCACTTGTGTGAACGTGGTGAGGGCCAATTCGACTCCTTCCAAAAGCTCCAACCATCCAGGGGTGATTGTGAGCGACACGGAAGTCAGCAGTTACCTCGGTTGTGGCTGACTCGGTAACATGAGACGCGGGTTACTTCATCATCTACAGATTTACTTACCTGAAATATACATAGGATAATTACTTGGTATGTTGTTGCTTGTTTCTGTTATTATTAGTGGGTGGGTGGGGCGGTTGTATCGAAGATTCATGTTTGGGAGCCCTCCCATAACTACTCGCACGGCTTTTTCTCACCAATTCCCCATCCCCAATTCTCTGCCATGTGGCCATTACCGCATGGGGGTCTTCCAGAAAGAGCAAGCTCGTCTCCCAACTCAACAAATGAAATGGAAGACCACTTGCCGTGGTCGCGCTCGCGAATTAGAAACAAAGCGATTTGCGGAACGAATTGCGGAGCGAATTGCCAAGCGACTCTCAGGCTCGCAGTGCAAGCCCTGCATTTCCATGCCAGCTGGGAGATTTCCTGGCGCCCCGGCGTCACCACTGTTACCACATTATAGATGACAGTTACGTTAGCGCGTCTCGTCAGGGCGTTTTTACGACACGGTCTCAATATTAAGTGTAAGTCGAATCAAATGGCTCACGCAGACAGAGAGGGGTTGTGAAATGTCTTCGCTTGTGTTCCCAGTTTTCGCCAGTAAGGGACCGTTAGTTTCGTGAGCGTTTAGACTTTCCGTTGGTGGCGAAGCAACCGTTGGAGTGCATCCGAGACGTCGAAATCTGCTGCACTAAGGAACCGTTGGTCTCACCGTACATCGCAAGCACCATTCTCTTGCTCCTCTTCTGGTCTCTATGCGTCTCGTCTCGGGCTCTCAGGCTTTCTCTATTTCCCCCTGCCTTCCCTTCCGTATCCCGCCAATCGCTTCCACTCCAGAACGGAAGCCTGAGAGAATTATGGAGCACAAGCCGATCATGTAAGGATGGTGCATGCGATGCAGGGCCAGTGAGGAAGAATTGGTTTCTTTCTCCCTGCTTCTTTCTCCCTGCTTCTTTCTCCCTGCTTCTTTCTCCCTGCTTCTTTCTCCCTGCTTCTTTCTCCCTGCTTCTTTCTCCCTGCTTCTTTCTCCCTGCTTCTTTCTCCCTGCTGCTTATTCACTGCTTCTTTCTCACTGCTTCGTAGCCACTGTTTTCTCAATCTGCCTCGTTTATCTGCAGAGGCACATCCTCGTGCTGTTCAACCGAGAAAATGGGTGCCGCCACAGCTGAGGAAAGGTAGATAGATCAGATGACTGCGTTATGGGGCGATGAATATTGAGCAGAACCTGAAATTGTGAATGTTGTAAATAAACTCATCACATTTCAGCATAAATAGCTGTAAAATGTGATGGTTGCTCTGGAAGATATCCTTCAAGCCACCACCCAAGGGTGTTCGCTCATATATTCATCAATAACGTGCGACAGTACCGTTTCCTTTCCAACCCCCCCCCCCCCCCCCCCCCCCCCCCCCCCCCCCCCTATATATCAGTTGATGCTACACTTAGCTTTAATTTACTATTTGACAAGTTTTGCACCACACTACAGTGACGAGTTCCCTCCTCCCCAATCATATTATCCTTACACACCCTAAAACAATCTCTCCTCCTACCACCCACTTTTCGCAGCACGAATGCTTCTCCAAACACCGAATCAGATCCCTCCGCTTTGCATGTCAGAATCGACTAACTGGTGAAGTACAAGCTTTGCACGACTTTCGACAGTACCCAAACGACTCATCATTCCCAATCATATAATCCTTATACCCTTTGCACTCCCCCCGCGCCGCCCAGATCTCGCAGAATGGATGCTCATCCACGCAACCAATCATATCCCTCCGTGCAGTGTACTTCTGGATGGCGATGGATTTTTCCGCCGTCCATTTGGGTGGGCCCTCGAGAACCGGGCAGTTACGGCGGGCAGAAGAAGAGTCGTGGTAACCAGATGCCGTTACTTGGAAGAAGAGCAGGGCGTCTCCTTTGACTGGTGGGACTGAGGAGAACAGGTAGGGAACAGGGGAGGAAGGGCTTAGGGTATGGGTGGGGTTGTTGTAACCAGGTGCGGTTACTTGGAAGAAGAGCAGGGCGTCCCCTCTGACTGGTGGGACTGAGGTGAGCAGGTTGGGAATAGGGGAGACAGGGTTTAGGGTACAAGTGGAGGGGAAGAGGTGGGGTTGTGGTAACCAGACGGGGTTACTTGGAAAAAAAAGCAGTGAGTTTCGTTTGACTGGTGGGATTGAGGGGGATGATTGAGGGGTGGGGAAGGTAGGGGGGTAGGGCTAGTGGATACTGGTAGGATAGTGGCAGGAGAGGGGGGGAGGTACCAAGCAGTGCCTCTTCAAACATGAAGCTGAAGGTCAGGGCATAAAGGTTGCAACTGCATACATGTGTTTGACGTCAACCGAGAACAAGCTGGCATGAGAGCAGAGCATCGGCTGCTTTCACAGATGAAACTCAGCGTCATGGCATTACAGATGTGTGCACTGAAAAAAAAAACACACACAGCTTTTAAAGTATCTATCACTGAATACAAATATCTACAGTATTTAGAACACATACCTGAAACCCCTTGGCGGGCACAAGGTGAGAGGGACGAGTCCCAGGGCCAATGTGAGTGCTCCGACTGAAGAGAGAGGGAGGAGGGGGGGGGGGAGGGGAAAGCGAGTAAACAGCGAGAGATGTAACAACAATAATAAAATTGCTAATGAGAATTTTCAAAAGTGAGTGGTCAGTCCGACTGGAGACAAAGGGAGGGCCGTGCAGATGCGAGAAAGCAGCGAGAGGTGTCAAGGCAGCGAGTTGAAATGAAATACGCATGACAAGCGCTATAGAAGTATTTATATGTAACAGCTGCTCACTCCATTGGAAACAAACATGGCTAAACAGAAAGAAAATACACCCTACATGAGACAGCACCTTGCCCTGCGGGAAGTTCACTTCGCCGCCCTTTTGTACGTCCGAGAGGAAAAGGACAAGCGTCGCCACCCGGTGGCCGGACCTCTGTGTGTCGACGTTATCCCGATAAAACTCCAGATGTACATCGTATGCTTGACCCTCATTGAACCGAACCTGCGTCCGATCCTGCGGGCCTGGTTCGGACAGAAATAGTTGGGGAGTTAATTTCTTGGAAAGTGACTTTTTTGAGCTTAGTGAACTTAAAGAAAAACACGCGAACAAGAGGCACCCAACAATTACCTCTGGGAAGGAAAAGGAAGGACGCGATCCGGTCCTCGATGGCTCGAAGGCGAGGGTTCTGAAGAACAGGAAGGAAAGGACACACACAGACAAAAGAAGCTGGTGAACATTGCAAGCCAGAAAAGGAGCGTGCGCTCTGGGAAAACAGAATCGGGAAGGAAAAGGATGGACGCTATCCGTTCCTCTATGGCTCGAAGGCGTGGGTTCTGGAGTAAAGGAAAGAAATAAGAAACAGAAAAGAAAGCACATGAAACGACTGAGCCAAACTCACAAGTACACACGTGATTCGGCCCTCGATCTGCTCGCTGTGTGTGTGCACGCACTCACATCCCCCACTCCCCCCCCCCTTCCTTCTCTCCCTCCTCCCCACACACACTCATGCTGACAAGCCCACACGTGCCTGGTACTTGCGCAGGTACGTGGCATTGAACCGCCTCTGGCGAGCGATCTTTGGTTTCGCCTGTCACGCAACAGGCGAAGGCAGCATGGCAGCATGGCAGCATGGCAGCATGGCAGCATGGCAGCATGGCAGCGTGGCAGGCAGCAAGGCAGCATGGCATCATTGGCAGAGTGAACAGACATTCATGCGGGACAATGGCTGATAAGTGGCTGATCGGTAAAATCCACGTCTGTAGTGGCTGACTGGTAGATTGGCAGATAAGTGGCCAAACAGACCAGTGCATTGAAGAAGCACAGAGCAGTGCATTGAAGAAGCACAGACCAGTGCATTGAAGAAGCACAGACCAGTGCATTGAAGAAGCACAGACCAGTGCATTGAAGAAGCACAGACCGAAGGGTTCTATTCCAGATGCAGGAGGACTCACCATTGCCACTAGAAACGCACAATCATCTGGCGAGAGAAGCTGCTTGTACACATACACCCTGAGACACAAAAATTACGGGGTAAAGTACAATGTTAGGTCGACAATAAAAAACAGAAACCCTGTATAAATCTGACCCTGAAGGCAGACACACCTGTATGGGAGTACAGTTGATTCACCCGGTCATTTAACAGTCAAACAGGGAAACTTGTACGGTGCTAGCATGGCTGTGTATGATGCGAAATGGCACAGAAATCTGCAATGTATCTGGGTAGGTTGGGTGGGTGTAGACGACACCCACCTATCTACGTGTTACAATAAGATGTGTTCGAAATAAAATACAGTAATTATTGTGAGATACGCGTACAGTACCTGGGTGTAGATGACACCTTGACAACCCGGCTTTCATTAAACACCCACTCCGAACCTCCCGCCCTCCGAACGTCACTAGGCTCGGCAGAGTTCAGTGAACTGCTGCCCCCAGCAGGGCTGAAACGATCGCTCCCTGCCACGCCCCGGATCCCCCCAACTTCTTTGCTGCTGCTGCTGCCACCACTGCCGTTGCTGCTGCTGATGATGCTGCTGCTGCTGCTGCTGCTGCTGCTCCCTCTGGTGCGTTCGGTGGCTAATCTGGCTTCCCGCTCTTGAAGCAACTCGGGGGTGCCCCAGAACTCGATGCTGATTGGTCGGCGCAGGGAGTGAAGGGGAAAAATGGGGAAAAAGTTGAAGGGGAAAAAGAGGGGGGAGGAGGGAGCACAAACGAAGGGGGAGGGGGGAAGAAAAAAGAAAGTGAGGCTAACATAATAATTGGATACTTCAAGGGCGAAGGGATTCAGGGGTGATGTAAGGGGAAGGAGATAAAGAGAGGAGGGTGAGCAATGCGTGAAGGGGAAGAAAAAGGGATGCGAAGCAACTTGCACTTCCTTCTGCAACCGGGACCTTCGTTGATAAACGAGGAAACGAATCTCACCCTAACGAGTCCCAGTCTCGCCCTAACGAACTTCTCATTAAAGAATACCATTGTAGACGAATCTCATCATAACGAATCTCATCATAGCGAATGTAACCCTAACAAATCTCACCCTAACGAATCTTGTAGTCCTCTTGACGGGACAGCGCAACCCGCGAGGAAAACGACAAGGACGAGGAGGAACCGCATTCCGAAAGCCGCGGAGAAAGGAAAGGTCGAAGTGCACTCCGAGTTGCTTTTGAGGTGCCTCAAAAGGATAAGGTCGTAGACAACTGCGCGCCGAGCAGATACGCGAAAGCTCCAAAGAAAAACAACTTTGAGCCGAGCCGCTCGGCAAAATGCGACGAAGGTGACTGAAACGCGAAGAATGAAGTCGCAACGGTAATTGCGAAATACTGGCGAGCAGTGCAGATCAGCTGATCTGGACGGGTGACGTCACCCGAATTCTGACACATTTCTGGTCTGAATGCTTGCGCATGTTCATGCAGTTTAAAGACAGACGCGTTTGAAGCGAATAGGAATGCCAGCCAACACTTGACTTGAACGTATGTACTAAGTGATACTGTGCAAACATCAACACACTGCGTTGGCTTGTAAGATGCAGATGTTTCCCCCAAAATATACACCTTGCGCATATGATTTGCAACACATGGAATACATGATTCATTCATATTTTCCTGCAGTTGATTTACCTACAGTCCTCCCATCCGAACACACATCGCAATGCTCGTGCGATAGCATCAGCAACATCAGATATTGAGCCATCATTAGACTCGGCACCACGGTTGCCTAACCCAGCAGCACCACTGCCAGTCCCATCAGCACCACTACCAGTCCCAGCAGCACCGCTGCCAGTCCCATCAGCACCACTACCAGTCCCAGCAGCACCGCTGCCAGTCCCATCAGCACCACTGCCAACAGTCCCAGCAGCAGGTGGGTGCATCATGCGCCATGCCACATGCCCATCGGGCCTCACGAGAATAGCACCTGATTCCCCCACCCCTGCCAGCCACGCCAACCACTCCCCCCTCTTTGCTCCCCCCTCCTCTGCTGCGCTCGCTGCTTCTCCGATGCCTGCTAAATCACCTATATCGCCGTGTTGTTGCCTGGGTGGGGTACCGTCTGTTAAGAGATTGACTTCTAGAGACGTGTAATTTGAACCAGTGGCAGCCGTAGCAGCTGTAGCAGAAGCAGGTGGGGCAGAAGCAGAACAAGCAGCATCAGTAGCAGCGGCAGCAGCAATGCCACCAGCAGAAGCAGCATCAATCACTGCTTTAGACGCTGGCGTGCTAGGAATGGGCCTGAGGACCCAAGACGTGCGAAGGCCGGGCCAAGGTGAACCCACATCGCTTGCACGACCTGTTACACTGTTACCACTTGCACTGACTCCCATTTCTGTCACACGGTTACCACCACCGCCTTCTGTGCCAGCAGGTTCTATGCAGAGGCTGAGAGGAGCGAGGAGGGAGGGGAGAGGGGAGAAGGAGGAGGAGTGGGGGGCGAGGAGGGCGAGACGGAGGGGGAGGCGAGTGAGGGAGTGTGCACGGAGAGAGGAGGCGAGCCAGAGGGGAGTGTGGGGGCCGAGAGGGAGGAGGAGAGTGGGGGTGATGGAACCGAGAGGAGAGAGGTAGATGGAGGAGATAAGAGAGCCCTGCAAGGTGGGGAGGGATGGGGAATTGGGTATGATAAAGAAGGGCAGTTTAGGTCAGTTTGGGAGGGATTGGGTGGCGTGACAAGGGGAACCAGAGGTGAGTGTGCAGGCCGGGGGGGGGAAGAGTGAGAGGGGAGCTGTGTGATGGAGCAGAGATGGGAGAGGCCGATGGAGGAAAGGGAAGGGCCTTGCATGCAAGGTGAGGAGGGATGGGGAAAAGGGATTGTCGACAGAGGGGAGCATAGAAGTGGTTGCAGGAGGGAGGGATTGCGTGGGAGTGGCAGGCGTGATGAGGTTGTTTTTGAGACGTCTCAAAAACAACCTCATCACAGGAGGGATTGTGTGGGAGTGGCAGGCGTGAAAGTTAGGAAACGAGCCCCTGGGAAGGAGTAACTACGCTTTGAGACTCAAGGCTTGACTGATGGTTGGTTGCAGCAGCAGAGGGCTGCAGCAAGGTGAGCGTGCGGTGTGGCAGGCGGGCGCTGGGGAGAGATGGAGGGCGAGAAGGTGGTGGAGGTGGGAGAAATGTGAGAGAAAGAGGAAGGGCAACTTACAATCTCGAATTTGAGCAGTGATGGGGTGCCCTTGGACCCACGCGTGGTGCTTGCACTCTGCGGCTCTTGGGACTGTTTGTCCATTGTCGCAGCAGAAGAGGGCAGCAGCATGGTGAGAGTGCGGTGTGGCAGGCGGGCGCCGGGGAGGGTGGAGGGCGAGAAGGAGGTGGAGCTGGCTGTGTGTGCTTGCGAGTCATACTCCGCTGCTTCACGAATATCAGACGGGGAAAGGGATAGAGCGCCCTTCTTGTACCTGCGAAGGGTAATGGGATGGGGGCCATGGCAGAGACATGGGTAGGGCGAGCAGTGTGAATGAGCATGAAGAGTAGTAGTAGGCAGAGACTTGGGTAGGGCGAGCTGTCCCAGAAGCGTGGTGGCAGGCAGGTAGCGGGCGCCGGGGGGAGCGGAGGGCGAGAAGGAAATGGAGCTGGAAGCACGTGCTTGTGAGTCACGTGCTGCTGCTTCACAGGCGTCTGAGGGGGATAGGAGCGGCGCAACGCTCTTAAATCTGTGAGATTTGAGTTGGAGAGAGATGGGGGTGTAGATGAGATGAGGGGAGAAGGATGGGGAGGGGGCGAGTAGGGAAGTGAGCAAGTGGTGGGCGGAGCAGCCCCAGTGTGCAGCGGGGCAACAAGTAATTGCACCTATCCCTTCCCATCCAAACCCATCCATGCACATCCCCACCCATTCCCACCTACCTGCACCCATCTTCACCTGAATCCCAGGTCGTGCTGTGGGAACAGCAGCTGCAGGCTCTTCCCCTCTTCCAAACTCCTCTGCACCGCTGCTAACCGCTCCCTTCCCACAGGATTGGCCCGGTTCAGCAGCCAATCAGAGAGCAGCAGCTGTCGCCCTGCTGCTAGCCCAGCCTCTATGAGGGTCGCCTGGAGCTGACGTGGCAGGAACTGATTGGCTGTTGAGGAGGAAAGGGCAGCTGAAAAAAGGCTGGGTGGAGGGGAGGGGGGAGGAAGAAAAGAAGGGAAAGTGGGGAAGGATGGAATGAGAAAAATGAGGGGAAGCAGCATTGGGTTCAAGACCCAGAGCACGCGGAACAGCTAAAGCACACTCAAAGTTGTTGACACTGAGGTGTGTGTTCCCCAACAGCCACTGGCCGCCTTTCTGTTCCTCTGCCTATCACTTGTATGGACTCACCTGGCAGCATTGGGTTCAAGACCCAGAGCACGAGGAACAGCTAAAGCACACTCGAAGTTGCTGACGCTGAGTTGAGTGTTCCCCACGGCACTGGGCGCTCGAGGTGGCCACTGGGCGCCTCTCTGCTTTGTAGGAAGCGAGCAGGGCAGGGGAGGCGGTGCCTTGGAGCAAAGCCGACTCTTATCCACCGCTCTGACTCACTAAGGGGAGGAATCAGCACTACGCACCTGGCAGCGTTGGGTTCCAGGCCCAGCGCACGAGGGACAGAGAGAGCAGACTCGAAGTTGTTGACGCTCAAGTGTGTGTTGCTCACGGCCACTGGGCGCCTCTCTGCCTCGTATGTGGAGAGCAGGGCGGGGGAGGCGGTGCCTTGGAGCAAAGAAGCGAGCTTCCATGCGAGGTTGTGGGCGTCTTGAATGCCCGTGTTCATGCCTGGTGGGGTGGGGAGGGGAGGGAAGGGAGGGAGGGGAAGGGAGGGGAAGGGAAGGGGGTTGGGAGAGAAGGGAGGAGTGGTGAAGAGTGTTTGAATGGGTGGGCCTTGGAGCAGAGATGCGAGCTTCCATGCCGCCATGCGAGGTTGGAGCTAGGTCTATAGATACATACACACACGAACCGAAGCCGCCAGCAGGGGGGAAGCGGTGAGCTGCATCCCCGACTAGAATGACACGCGCCTCGTATCCCTCCCCGAGAGGTACCCCTCACTCACTGGCCAAATAATGTGCATCTCTGGAACTGACATAGGAAGTAGGTAGATATGCGTGGGAACCAGGTCTGCTTACACACGTACCGAAGCCGCCAGCCGGGGGGAAGCGATGAGCCGCATCCCCCACTAGAATGACATGCGGCTCAAATGAGTCATATCCCTTCCCAGAAACACGCCCCTCGCTGCCCAGTGCTGGTGGTGCCGGGTGGTGTGAAGCAGTTGGTAGCGGTGTGGAGAGGTTATGTGAGGCGGATTGGGGAGAAGAAGCAGTGGGAGCTGGTGCCGGGTGGTGGGAAACGGTCGATGGCGGTGCTGCGAGGTAGTGAGAGGCGACTTGAGCGGCCATGATCCAGGGCTTGGCAGAGCGGATGGTTATGGGGATGGCTGAATCTCCTATGAGTGCCCGCACCATGCGCTCACAGTCCTACCAATAAGTGGGAGAGGATGGGTGGAGGGAAAGGGAAAGGGGAAAGCAAAGAGGCGACTTGGGTCTTAAGCGGCCATGATCCAGGGCTTGGCAGAGCGGATGGCGATGGGGATGGACGAATCTCCTATCAATGCTCTCACCATGCGCTCACAGTCCTGTATTGACAATATTTCGGGGACCGGAGCCAGTGGGAAGAGAGGAGGGGAGTGGGATGGGCCGGTCCCCTCATACTTTCCTGCACCTTGAGAGAGCATGAAATGAGGAAGTATGCGGCATTTTTGACGATTGTTTTTGAGAAATTTCAAAAACAAAGTGAGGAAGTATGTGGCCATATTTTACCATTTGTGTGGCACCTCAAAAATGCCCACACCGCACCTTGCGCGCACTCTCCTGGTGAGAGCCGAGGGAGGGATGGAGGGGAAAAGGGAAGGGGGCGAGTTGAACAGCCATGATTGAGCGGGTGGCGATGGAGCTCGAGGGGTGCTCGCACCATGCGGCGCACACTATGCGCTCACGATGATGATGTGATGGTGATGATACAGGGGACAGGGGGCAGGGGGAGGAATATTGCATGGTGTGATGGTAATGGAGGAATCCCCTATCAGTTCTCGCACCATGCAATATTTTTTTATATCCTCAAAATGTCTACCTGCACACTGATAGGGGATTCCTCACACTAAATACTACCAACAGCACACTTGCCACTCACTCACCTTATTTGTTGGCAGTTTTCGACCGTCCGAGTAGAGAGGAATCTGTGGGATAGGGAGGCACAGGGGAAGGACAAGAAGGAAGGGGTGAGACGTTTGGGGGCGGGGGGTTGGAGAGCACTGGGGGGGGTTGGAGAGCACTGGGGGAGGGTTGGAGAGCACTGGGAGGGGTTGGAAAGCAAGCAGGGGGCACTGCTGAGAATGCTCAAAAGCGAAGGATTGACGGGGGTCTGTCCCAGTCGTCCGAAACATGTTTGCCGTTTTAATCTTGTAGTGGACTTAGAGCTCAGTTTTGATCTTGCTTTTTTACTGGCAACAAAGAGTTCAACTCTACTGTCGTTCTTCTGCTAAAAGAATTTACCTAAGCTGCAGCTCGCCTAGTCTAATGGCTGAGGGCGGGGGGTTGGAGAGCAGGGGGCACTGCTGAGAATGCTCAAAAGCGAAGGAGAGTCGCAGGGGAGGGCAAGAAGGAGGGGGGAAAGCAATGGGGGCGGAGTGGAGGTATGGAGAGCAGGAGGCGAGATGAGTAGGATGAGGAGAACGAGGAGAGTGAGGAGAATGCGGACGGAAGGGGGATGGGCGGATGCAATAAGGCGCTCAACAAACCCATCCACTTGTAAAAGCAACTCCTCAATCAATCTGCCTTACCCCGGCTGCGAAACACTCTCAATTTTTTTGTAGGCCGCTTTTGGGAATTCTCAAAAGCATCCAACAAACTCATCCTTTAGTGTGCTCGTCAGTCTGTATAAGCAAGTCAACAATCCGCCTCACCCGACCCGCCTTACCCGACCTGCCTCACCCGACCTGCCTTACCCGACCTGCCTCACCCGACCTGCCTCACCCGACCTGCCTTACCTCGGCTGCCAAACTCAATCAATTCCCTCGGCATCACCTGAGCGACAAACTCCCCTTCTCTCAAGCAGTGAGCCACCACCACCCCCACGCCCTCCCTGTTGTACACGAAATAGAGCATGGCAAGGCAGGGCGGCGACTATTGAGGTGCCTCAGAAGGACTTCTCACCTGAGCAACGAACTCTCCCGCTCTCAAATCGTGCGCCACCACCACCCCGACCCCTTCAGTGTTGTACACGAAATAGAGCATGGCGGGGCGGGGCAGCGCCAGCAGCCTCAACCCGAGTGGGGGGGGGGGTCCTCTGTGTTCAAGCCAGGCAATCTCCTCACCTGAGCAACGAACTCTCCTTCCCTCAAGCAGTGCGCCACCACCACCCCCAGCCCCTCGCTGTTGAACAGGAAAAAGTGCAGGGCCGGGCGGGGCAGAGCCAGCAGGCTCAGCCCCAAGGGCGAGGGGAGGGGTTGGGCTCCCCTGTGTTCATGCAACAGTCAATGCCCTTACCTGAGCCACGAACTCCCCTTCCCTCAAGCAGTGCGTGCGCCACCACCACACCGACCCCCTCAGTGTTGAACACGAAACAAAGACATCACAGGGCGACGCACCCGAACCACCTTCCCACAAGAAAACTATCCCCTCACCTGGGCGACAAACTCCCCTTCCCTTAGGCAGTGAGCCACCACCACCCCCACGCCCTCCCTGTTGTACACGAAATAGAGCATCGCGGGGCGGGGCAGTGCAAGCAGCCTCAGCCCGAGGGGGTGCGAGGAGAAATGCACCGACAGCACCCGCTGCAATTGCCTGTGACCCTGCATTGTCACCCGTTGCAGTTTTCCTTCTTGGCCTTCCACTATCCCCCGCTTCGCCTCCCCAAGACTGCTGCCGACGTTAGAAGCTCTTTGGCCTCCTTCGTCCACTCTTTGGGATGGCTGCACAGGGACGAAACTCGCCGCCCGGATGCTGCTGTTAGCGCCGTCGCAGGCAATCAGGTAGGAGCAGTCGATTTCGAGGTTTGATGGAGGAGGAGGGGAGGAGGTGAGAGGAGGAGATGGAAAGGTTGCGCATGTGTGATTCTGTTGGTAGTGGTAATACTCCGGATTGGTATTGGTGTTTCTGTGGTATTGGTCCTGCTGCTGACTCTGTGGATGGTGCTGCTGCAGCTGATTATGGTACTGCTGTTGCTGGATCTGAGGCAGAGAATTTTCTATGGAGGACCCCAATTTCGGTGTAGTGCGGAGGCTAACTCTTATGGGCTTCTCGAATCTGGAGCTTATAAAGGGGATGGTCTGGGAGCTGGGAGAAGATTTGGAGTGAGTGGAAGAGGGAGAGACGGGGGAGGGAGAGGCGGCAGAGGTAGTGGGGGTGGTGGAGGGAAAGGTAGAGGAAGGGGCAGTGGGGGTGGTGGAGGGATGATCAGAGATGGGTTGAGTTGGGCTGGTAGGATGCTGCCGATTAGAGGAGTGGGAATGAATGGACGGCTGAGATTGATCGTAGGAGAAGGAATCAACAGTGTAGCCAAAGAGAACTGGCGGCAACTGTAACCCTTTGCTCGGTGGTGACCCTGCATCTTGTTGTAACCGCTCGTGTTCTGGTAACCGCTTTTGGTGCGGTAACCGAATTTCATCTTGTGGTAACCGTTTCTGTTGCTGAGAAAAGCGCGCATCAGATATTGCCTGCTCCAGCAGCAGCGGCAGCAGCTTGTTTTGGGAAAAATGTGCCACCGAGGCTGGGCTTATGTGTGACAGGCCTGGAGAGGGAGAGAGGAGATGGGGGCACAAACGCACAAGGATTAAGAGAAAGAGGCAGAGAGTGCCTGAGATAGTAGCAGTCAGCAGCTTGTTCTGCAAAAAACGCTACCGAGGCTGGGTCATGCGTGATAGGCCTGGGGAGGGAGAGAGGAGATGGGGGCACAGGCGCACAGGGATACTGAATTAAAGGCGATGTGTCATACGTGCACTATTGTACAGGCACGCACGATTAACTGGACTACACCTGGTCGATTTTTGAGGCGCCTATAAAATCGTCATACGTGCTCTCGCCCAGTTCGAATTATGAGTTAGTTTCCCTTTTGGTCGGCCGTCAGACCTTGCTGTTATTCACCCGCCCTCATGTGGGGGCTCATATGGACCACACCTGGCTTTTGAGTCGACTCAAAAGTCAGCACTTTTACAGGTTGATGTTGAGAGTTCTCAAAATCAACCTCAGCTTAATGTGAGGGTTGATATGGAGACAACCAGGGCTGATATATACAAACAAACAAACAAACAAACAAACAAACAAACAGACAGACAAAAAAAAAAAAAAAAAAAAAAAACAAACAAACAAATAGGGTCGAATGTCAGACAGACAGACAAACCTGCTTGTCAAATATTTCCGCCCGTGCCCTTGAAAGTGATCCTGCTTCCCCAGCTCTCGCCCTAGCATGTACGTGCAGGCAGAGCACAAACGAATTTCACTTCTCTTGACCCTTTCCTCCCTCACCTTTCTGTCCCTTGGAATCGTCCTCCTGCTTCCCCAGCTCTTGCCCCAGCATGTGCATGCAATGCACAAACAACACAAGCCTTCATACTCCGCTCTCCCTCCATCCCCAATACCCTCGCTTCCCTTTCCTTCCCTGCCCTCCCTCACCTTCCTGCCCTTTGAAGTGATCGTGCGTCCCCAGCTCTCGCCCCAGCATGTGCGTGCAGAGCACAAACGACCGCCACCCCTCTTAACTCCTCTCCACCCTCACCACCCCCTCCCCTCCCTCACCTTCCTGCCCTTTGAAATGATCCTGCTTCCCCAGCTCTCGCCCCAGCATGTGAGTGCAGTACACAGTGCATCGCACACAAACGAGCATAACTCCTCTCAACCCCTCTCCCCCTCCTCCCTCATCTCACTTCCTTCCCTTACCTTCCTGCCCTTTGAAGTGATCTTGCTTTCCCAGCTCCCGTCCCAGCATGTGCGCGCAGTGCACAAACGACCGCCACTCCTCTAAAGGGGGCTGTTGACTTATGATGTGATAGTAAAGGGGGCCCATGAGGCGAAATATCTGAGGGAGGGAGGGAGGGTTGGATGGAAGGAAAGAAGGGAAGGAGAGAAGCCCAAGAACGTGATGTGACTGTAAAGAGGGTCCAAGAGGGCAACTATAAAGAGGGTCCAAGAAAACGATCGCTGGCCATCCCATGCAATTCCATGCCATGCCATCACAAGCCGTAAATGAGATGCCATGCAACTCTTAACTTCAATCAACGCACCTCCATGGTTCTGTTGTTAATGAGATGCGCTGCGGGATGCTGCTGCAGCCCATGTGTGTTATTGCGTCTGTATGCAATCTCGTAAGCTTACATGCCATCCCATGCATTCAACGCACCTCCATGGTTCTGTTGTTAATCAGATGCGCTGCGGGATGCAGCTGCAGCCCACGCTCCCTCTCCACCACCACATTCCGAACGCCTGTAGAAAGAAGGGGGAGAGAAGGAGGGCAGTTGAGAGAACTGTTCAGGTCTGCACGGCACCCCTGCCTTGCTCTTGCTGCTGCAGCCCATGCCTCCTCTCCACCACCACATTCCCAACGCCTGGTAATTGGGGGATGAGAATACGAGAGGAGGAGGGGAAAGCACATCGTTTGAGTGAGCTTGCTAGTGCTGTTGCGGGATGCTGTTGCAGCCCATGCTCCCTCTCCACCACCACATTCCCAACGCCTGGTTGAGGGGGATGAGAGGATGAGAGGATGAGAGGATGAGAGGAGGAGGGGAGAGGAGGAAAGGGAGTCACAACCTACACAGCATACAAGGGCGGAAGGAGGAGGAGAGAAGCTGAGCGAGCCGTCATGCCTGCATAGCACCCTTGCCTTGCTCCTGCTGCTGCAGCCCATGCTCCCTCTCCCCCACCACAATTCAAACACCTGATTAACGGGAAAGGAATACTAGGACTCATAGCCTACTTGTAACCTTTCCAACTATTGCAGCAGCAGCCAATGCGCACTCTCCACTCCACCGCCACATTCCATAGGCCTGCTTATAACGCATGCGTCTCTGTTCACCTAGAGGCCACAGCATGATGGAGAGGCGGGGACCCACAGGTATCGTCACCGGCACTGACGAGTCCGCTTATAACGAGTGGATTACTGTTCACCTAATCTCGAAAGCATGATGGAAAGGGAGAGCCCCACCGGCCCGGCTCCCACAATCACCACTGGCACCGACGCTCGCGCAACCGATCCTTCTCCGTTCTTCCTGCCATCCCCTCTGCCAATCGCAACCGTTGATCCAGCTGCCGCCAAACCAGCAGGGACAGATCCAACGGTTGTTGGTCCATCAGCGGTAGATCCGGCGCTAAACTCGCGAGCCGGGAAAGTGAGCCATTCATAGTAGCTGTGAAGGCTGGATATAGAGGAAAGGAGGGGAGGGTAAGATGGACGACCAGCATGGCGCCGCTTCGGAAACCTAATCGTAGGGAGCATAGGTGAAACGGCTTCCGTGACGAATGCTCGCGTCAGGTGAATCCGCAGGCGCTTCAGAAATGAAGTCTACCATGTAAACGAGCAAACCCTAAATTGCAGAGGGTGGAACGGAGTGCGCGTCATGCGCCGCGAGGGACGGTGATCGCGAAGTGACGGTGATTCTGGGTCGTGGAGAGTTCGCGACGCGAGGAGGTGGAGGAGGAAGGGAATTGGGTTTCCTTAAATTGCAGTTGGGGTGCTTTGATGGGAGGGCTTGATGGTGTTTTAAATGTGTGTGCTATTGGGGTTTTCTTGGGGTTGTGTGTGCTGCTTTTTCTTCCTTCTTCCCTGTTTTTCTTCCTCCTATCATTTTTCCCCTATTCCCCTCCTTCTTTCTTCCTCTCTCCTTTTTTCTACTCACGTTATTCCTCCTTTTCTCCTCTCTTCCCGTTTCCACTCCTTTTCCTTGCGTAATTATGCTACATTGTAACAGATAGTACCTCGATTGCTATTCAATTGTCAAAAAAGACTTGTTATCGATATTTTGCTCTCATCTCATGCTTTTTCTCCAAATTGCCTGAGGTTTAGTAAGATAGCACGAGTTACAATACAAGAACAATTATGAAAACTCATGCTACATACTGACATACTGACTGAACTATCTATCCCGTATAACTTGGCCAGTAGCAAGTTTTTCAAACGAAACCATAAGATAATGGAAATGTCTGGGGTATTACATAACGTATGATGTTTTCGTGCTATGGGAAGTGGAGAACACTGTATATACCATATATTAGATAATGGAAATTGCGGGAACATGTTGGGTGTAGGCGTAGCACCTGGCAAGACACTTCAAAGCACACTCCGCAAATTGACGTAGAACGTGAACAGATGTGCGACTGAATTGAACGAGGAACACAATTAGCCTGGTAACAAGATCGTTGTCAATCGTGAGGTTTGAGGTTCAACATGAGGCTTTGGGGGATACAAAGGTGCTTGTTTATGCTACGATCAGAGAGTGATCGCTAACCAGGATCTACTCGGGAAGGTTCGCACACAGGGAAAAGATTGGTTGGTGGGCCCGTGATCTCAATAGCAGAGTGAATGTAAATGCTTGAGATGATTAAAACATGCAAATACAGCGAGTATAAATATGAGTACAGGGAAGACGAAACGACCTAGCTAGTCATGTACTCTAAGGGGTACATTCCCTTATTCAAATACATTCAACCGTGCGGCGCGTACAGTTTCGTAACTGTTCCCGCCAAGAACATCCTGCCTGCAGCTGTCCGATGCCGTCTGCCTCCGACGGTCCAGATGCGTCCCAACTGTCTGACACTTCGAGTCAAACTCCAACTGTCTGACGGTTCGCTTTCTTGCTTCGATACTGCG